TTTTCCCAATTACATCGAGAATCTTATGTCTCTGGAAAGCTTTATTTTAGCTGATTCTTAAAAGTCACTCATTCCAACATTTTATCTTTGCGTTTCGTTGTCCAAAATTCTCGAGGGTTAAGTTGTATCCTTACTGATGCTTTAAAATGAACTAAACTATGACAAATCTTTTCCCAACTCAACGATTGCTATATAACTCGAAACATAAAAATAAACTAACAGCAGAAGAATCAATATATAGATAGCCAAAAGGTAAAACAAATTAGAAGCTAGCCTCTTCATTTTTTCCATTAAGTCGACGACGTAGAGACTTATATATAGAGTTTAATTGTGACACAAAAGTATATAGAGTATGAACCAAAATGATCCATATGAAGAATAAAAATAAGCGAAAGGCGAGGGTTTGGGATCAAGGAGAAACAAGAACAATAAAAAAAAAGTCTTCACCATAACGTTTCTACTAACCTGATCCCAAGTCTTGTCTCTGGACAAGATTTACTTATCCACTCTTCTTTCAATTGCAAAATTATTAGCCTTATTTTTTCTTCTCCTAAATACATTTTTGAGACTCAAGCTGTGTCAAATTCACCAGTATTGTGGTTTGAAGGGCTGGGCAGGAGCCCCTTGTATGTCTTTTTCCGACAGCAATTTCAGCTTCTGCGAAAACATTTAAAACAGTTGGAATTAAGAATCTTTTAGATTCCTTATAAATCAGTCAGTCTTTGAGGTTCCATGGTATATTTAGCCAATCATCAACTGTTAAAAGGAATATGTGGTGTTACCGTGATGTACTGTGGGGGATCGTCGAAACTAGTGGAGCCTAGTACCACTTCTCTCCTCAAACTGCTTGTCAACTTGTGGCAAACTCGGAGCTGTCAAAAAGTTATGCCAATGTTGACACAAGATTTGATAAAAAGAAACATATATAGCAATTCATTTAAGGTCGGATTTGTTTGAATGTATACCTCGGATCGAGTTGCCCCACCAATAATGAATACAAAGATGCGCTGCCCCAGCTTCTTGAAGTCCGTAGAAGCACTTTTCAACACTGAGTCACTGAGTGTGAAGAAAGATATGAACTACTCTTAGCAAAAACCCAAGCTCCTCTAAAATGGACCAAAAAATAAGAAATCATGATGTAAAATAGAATGCCTGGAGTATCCATCGTCAGAAGACTGAGGACGCGCCCAAGTTGCAGTTCGTCTTGATCTCATAGAATGAGGGGTGGCTTTTCGCTCTGGAACCGCTGTAGGAGCAGAACTCTTCCTTACTGACCCTGTTCTTGGTTCACTCTCCTCCTTATGACTTGATTGATTCATACATAGATAGTCGCTTTTAGATAGATCGCCTTTCACGAGTTTCTCAAGCAGCTCCTGCAACAACAACATAGCAAAGATTTATCACAGCCACTTCATGATTACATAGTGGATATGTAACTTATAAGCCGGGTGTTCATCTACCTCTATCATGGGATAAAACCGGAACAGTTGCCATGTTTCTTCTTCACCAGATCGATCTTTCCTGTTTGCTTGTTTTGTCTACACCAAAAGAGTATACATAATCGTCAGATTCTTCTTCTTATTCTCGGTAACTAGTGTCGATTTTTCATAACTAAACTGAATCTGTTACCTTTCCAGCGTCAAATTTGAGGGAGAAACTACCGGACTTAGCCTTGTTTTCTGGAGATCCAGCTATCAATTGCATGTTGCTTATAACCTTCATATCCACAGGTGATAATCTAGCAAGCTGATAAAGTAAATGCATTATTTGTTTAGCGAGCTGTTCCATGCATTACAAGGGGTTCTCAATCACACCAAAAGCTACCTGCATTAGCTTTACACCCTTGTCACCTTCAAACTTCTCGGGGTACACTGTTGCATAAATCATCAATAGCCGTAATTTGTTTTCCGGGTTTGTGTCCTGTATTTTAAATATATGCTGTGTCATTTCAAACACTAAAGCAATGCGGCTATGAAGTTTTTTTGTCATGTTTCAAACTTATTCACCTGATTTGTCCTCAGAAAGTTGATAACGTCCTTGGCACCTGCATCTCCAAAAACAAGATCTTGTTCCAGCTGCCCTAGATCCCGAAGTCCTGTGTCTCTGATTATTCTATTAATTTTTCCAGCTAGCTGAATTTGATTATAAAGTTTAAAAAAAAAAACTGTCAGCAACCACATCTAATATTGAAATTTTGAGATAATTTAATGGTGAGACAAACCTCTACATGAGTGGAGAGTTTGTCAACTTGTTCTCCATATTGCGGCAAAGCCTGAACTATTTTCTGTAGATCTCGTGTAGACAACTCGCTACCGTCCCTGCGTCACATTAGCCAAACAAGTCTGTGTTAACTAAACATATCAAACAAGTCTGTGAGGGATCACGCATCCATATCGAGGATAACAAGAAACTTATATTCTTCAAGATTTAGGCAACTGTTCCATTTTCTAAGCACTGAAAATCGGTTATTCAGACAGAAAGATAAGTTCTTAGCGCTGACCTTGATCTCATTTGTGCGGCTTTGTTCTTTGAAGCAAAGTTGGTCATTTTCTCATGCAAACGCTCGCTGGCCTATATATAAACCAAAATGATGGTATCAACATGGTGAGCTATTCAGTGAAAAGAAGATGTTTATAATTGTGGTATACATCTGCTATATGTGTGTGTCGAAGCTCAAGCCACACTGGATCATGATCTTCAAGAACTATCTCCTTTTTCTCCGGAGGCCCACCAGTTTTACTGGGAACCTAGCATATGGTAGAAAGATTAGGAAGAGAGAAACAGAAAAAAGTCAAGGATAAGAAAGAAAAATAGAATTACCTCAATGACATGTTTATTCCCCTCCATGTCAAGCAAATCATGGCACATAGCATCATAGGTCCATTCATGTATGATAGGAGCGATCTACAGTTACACCTCACTCGTTTAGAGAAATAAACTATCAATATGGACCTGAGGAGTAATTGTAGTAGATGAGCCTTAAAACCTGATCCACTGATCTATCCACAATGAGCAGCTCACATGTTTCGGTCTGGGGGAAGTTGGGAATGGCTTTATATTTTGAGATACAGTCCCAAATTGCAGCAGCAAGCTTTGATGGAACCAAGTCCCTCGAAGCAGTGGACTTAGCAGCTCGATACCGAACAAAGGGTAGTTCCTAAACACACATAAAAAAGAGAGATATATGGGAAAAGCTTGAGTTTCCTATAAGACCGTATATCATTAATTTGGCTGAGAGAGTCCTTATAAAGAACAGCTTGCCAGCACCAAATCCTAAATTCCTTGTGACTATAAAAGGAAGACGTAGTGAGTCTCCCTTTGGTGAATGTGTGTAGAAGGTATATACCTTGAGTGAAGCAAAAACGGTAGCAATTCTAGTAGCCATCATATTCAAACAAATATTAAAGTGGCGTGAATTCTCAGCATCGTCAGCATAGAGCGTTTCCAGTGCTTGCTCATGATCAGTTAGAAATCCCTGAGAAAGAGGTAAGATCATCAGGGAAAGACCTACTTTGCATTGTCTTTTTCGGTATTCGAGGAAAAAGATAATTGTTAAAAATCCAACTTCAAGATGCTTAAGCGCTCCAGAAAGAGTAAAAGAATAGTAGTACCGACCTGATTATCTATGGGGAAATACTCCATGTTCATCTGCATAAAAAAGTAGTAAAAAATTTAGGAACCAAAAAACGATAAAAAGAGTAGGTAATAAGGGAAGGGATGGTAGCATAGAAGAGAAAAACCTCGCGTAAAGCACCAATGCGTGGTAAAACGCTAGAATCACTTTTGATGTGATTGACCAATTCTTTGGGGATAGTGGAACTGAAAAAGATAAATGCCCTGAAGAAAAAAGAGAAAGAAATCAAGATGATGATGATATAGAGAAAAAAAGGGAAGAGGCAAGTTGTAGTTACTTCCTGTACAAGGGTTCCCGGCCAGACATGTCGGATAGAAACATGACAATGCTGCAATTAAGATAAAAGGAGAGAGAGACATGAGTCCTTCCTTCCTTGATAATATATATATAGTCCATGGAAGGAGCTAGAAGAGGATATTGGTACTTCTCTTTGGAAGGTTGGATAAAGTAGATAGCGTCCATGCCAGGCATTGGTTCCCTTCTCTTAAAAAGTTCTTCCACCACTGATGATTCCACAGGACATGAGAGAGCTCATCAACACAAGAGGAACATAATTGGAAACTGAATAATGAATGAATGAATGAAAAAGGAGGAAGATAAATGACGGACATACAGGAAATGCCTTGATCAGTGATATCAGCCATCTTGCAAGACTGAGACATTACTTTGACCGTAACTCTATCCATTATTAGTATCTGCATATGCTCATCAATGTATTCAAATCCAAAATCAATATATATGTAATCATAGAAATGAAAAGAGGGAGAGGACCTTCCAAGCTTTAGAATCCCCGGTTTTGGTAGATCCAAGCATTTCGTGTAGCAATCCTGAAACCCCAACCCCCCTTTATTGAGCCTTTTTCCCAAACAACAACCAAATGTATATATATATATATCAAAGACACAGAAAGATGGAGTGAGGGATGGAGATTACGATCGCGGCTGATCTGACGAAAGAACTTGTAATCTCCTCCTCCGTGAGAGGATGACTCTGAATCGGAGAACGACATTGGTAACCCAACAGAGTACGAATTTCGGAAGAAGAGGAGACGGGGAGTGATTTCATTTTCATCGTCAGAAATTGTTTGTATGGCTCCGCTTACAATTTGGGAACAACACTATTAATAGATGATGATTTCCTTCCTTTCCCCCTTCTTAAATTAGCCCTTCTTTCTTTTACTAGCTCCGCATTCAAATCAAATCAGCATTATTTTTTTATTTCTATGTACCAAGCTTACTTACCTTTAGGTCTGTTTGTTTACCAAGGCCTGCAGTTTTTCTTATTTACTACTACTTAATTTGCATTCCTTCTCGTTCGTTCAATCACACTTATTGTGCTTTGCTAATTCAACTTTATAGCAGAGATAAATGTGAACTTCCTATGAGGATATAAATATCAGAGAGATCTGACGAAATTACAACAGGCAGGAGGATACAAATGTAAAGAATATATAATCTCGAATGAATGAATGAATGAATCATGTCTCTTCTTTATGTATCAATCCACTCACTATACCCAACCATGGGATGGGACACTCTAAAGAAAGAAAGAAAGAAAGAAAGAAAGTGTCTTCTTCGTTAATAATAATAGTAAATGACAAGAATCAATCAAGCGGCAGCAACTTTCTTTCCCGCCTGCTGCTTGTAGTAACCAAGATACCATCTTACAAACTTCTTTAGACCAGTCTGCAAATCCGTGCTTGGTTTGTACCCAAACTCTCTCTCTGCCCAACTGATATTTGCATGTGTGAAGGCCACATCACCATTCCTCGGCAGCTTCATCATGTTCCTCTTCGCTTTCACTTTCAACAATCTCTCCAATATACTCACAAGCTCCGTTACCGGTACCGGAGATGTGTTCCCCAGGTTGAATACCCTTAGCTGAGCCGCACCCCGCTTCTTACCGCCACTCCCTGTGCTCTTCTCCGCCGTGTCCAGAGCCCCCAAACATCCTTTCACTATGTCATCGATGTATGTGAAATCCCTAGCCACTGTTCCGTGGTTGGCTCCTTGGAAGATTGAAATCGCTTTCCCTTTGAGGATATCTCTGGTGAAGAAGAAGTAAGCCATGTCAGGTCTCCCCCACGGCCCGTACACCGTGAAAAACCTCAACCCGGTAAGAGAGAGCCCGTAGATGTGATTGTAAGTGTGGGCAATCTCTTCTCCAGCTTTCTTGGTCGCAGCGTAGAGACTCGCAGGCTGATCTGTTCTGTCTTTCTCAGAGAAGGGGACTTTGGTGTTTAATCCGTAGACCGAACTTGACGATGCCCACACGATCGCCGGCTGAGGATTAGCGGATTTACAGACTTCGAGGAGGTTAACGAAGCCAGCGATGTTGCTGTGAACGTAGGAGCTGGGATTCTCCATGGCGTATCTGACACCAGCTTGAGCGGCCAGATGCATGACGTGAGTGAAAGGCACGACCTCGAAGAGCTTCTTGAGGAGAGACAAATCGTTGATGTCTCCTTCCACGATGAACACTCCGCTTCGCTCGAGGAGGGCTTGTCTAGATCTCTTGAGAGACGTGTCGTAGTAATCGTTGAAGTTGTCGAGCCCTAGAACGCCGTCGCCGCGTCGTTTAAGAGCGGCTGAGACGTGCGTACCGACGAAACCGGCGGCTCCGGTGACGAGAACGGAGACGCCGTTGCGGGTGCGGACACGAGCGGAGGATCTGACGCGTTTCTCCCAGTGGGGACCGCCCCAAGAGTAGGTGCGAAGAGAGCGGCGAGAAGAATCGGGATTGGAGATGGGAGATCGGTAGAAGAAGATGAAGAGCAATCCGAAAAAGACAAGGGACCAAAAAGCAAGCTTGGCGACGGAGGACTGCCACCGAGTACGGTGGAGGAAGTAGGGGGATTTATCCATCTTGAATTTCCCAGGAGTTGAAGGAATGTCGTCGTCGAGATGCGACATTCAAAGATTTGATCTTCCAGAGATTCAATTACTACTAGATCTCAGCCTTCTCTTGGGAAGAAAGAGCAGGGATTCTCTTGGGAGGGTGGACGATAATGGCGTCGGGAGAATCTTCTGGTTTCTTGGACTTGCTTCTTCTCTTTCTTTCTTTCTTTCTTTCTTTCTTTGGTTGGCGTTTTTTGTGCCTCCCGGTTTCTATGGGTACATCAACAATCTAATTATTTCTTAAAAAAAAAAAAAAAAAAATCTCCAATCTAATTTCTTTATTTTCAAAATTCAAAATTGGTTAAGAAGAGAGTAAACTGCTGTTAACAAATCAAGTGCAAGTAGAGAGATCTAACCATTAATTAGTAGTTGACTCTCTTTTTACCTGTAATTTAATTCAATGAGATAGTGCTCTCTCTACTCATATGTTTAATTCCATGGTGTTTTTCTATCATTCATAGTATTAATTGTCCTTTTCTCTCTTTAGGAAATACTTTTATACTAGTATTAACTTGTGGATCAGGATCAAGTAATAAATCATTTTAATTAAGAGGGTCATAATATTATTGGTTAGGATGGGATATTCATTTGCATTTTGCATTAACTAGTAGGTTTAATTTTCTAGTTATGTGTATGTTTAATACTTTAATTAGACAACATCATCAACGAAATAAGGAATTAGTATAAAACTAAAAAAAGTTAACTTAATTTGAAAGCTCAAATTCCCATGGGCAAAGAGTAGGCTTCAAGACAAATTAATGAATAATACTATACGTGCAATTAAACAAACATCTTTTGTATCATTCATGCCCCCACACCTCCATGGCTCCATTACCTTTTTTATTTCTTTCTTAACGTATCTTTATTTAGTAACCAAAAATTATGAGTATAACAGTACTATTTTATTATTTAATCGAACAAAACTATTACTAAAATCACTAAGAAGTCTGTGTAATAAACAAATGAGGAAAACATACTAAAAACAACGTGGAACCGCCCAAGCCCCATGTGATGTAAGAAATGACAAAAGACACTTGCAAATGTTAATATAGTTCTCTTAGAAATTTTTAAAATCGAGATTATACAATTAACCAAATTACAAAACACTAGTGATAATAGATGCATACCAATTAGTAGGGATACATGATAATGGGTTCAGCGTAATAAGTTGATATCTCAAAACAAAAGTTAGATTTTTTTTTTTTTTTTTTTTTTTTTTTGAAAACAAACAAAAGTTAGATTAAGAGTATAGATAATCAAACTTGAATTAATAAAAAAAGAAACACTAATATTAATTTGGGTCGGTGCAGACTGCACATGTTGACCTTGTAGGCATTTTTTTCGGGAAAAATGTCATTAAAATCCCCAACTTATTCAAAACGTTGATTTAAATCTTTAACTCACGACGAAACAAAATAAATATCAAACTTATGTTGACTTTCCAAATAAATATTAAACTTATGTTGACTTTCCAAATAAACACCAAACTTTCATTGACTTGGTTATATTAGGCATGACGTTAAGTGAGTTAACAGACAATGTTATTAACGGGATTAATTTTCTGTTAACAGACCCGCTAATTAAAAATGATAGTATTGTTGAACTATAATCAAAATCTCATCTAAGTCATATAACCTAAAGTCGTATTCATATAAGTTAATTAGTTATTTACGTAAGAGTCACGAATGTACGTACGTATAGTTGTGTATGTTCGTAAAGTTGTGTCTTTTCGATTAACACAAGTACGTACACGTTGTTTCGTGTTGTATAAGTAGATCGAGTCAAACTCAATAACATCATTGTGTGTAATACATTTTATCTTATCAATAAAGATCAAGTTTCTTCATACTCTATTTTTCATTTTGGTTTTGTTCTTCATACTCTGTTAAAACAGAGTTCGTTTGTTGATCAAAACACTAACAAGTATTCTTTCTAAACATAAAACGACGTTGTTTTGTCATAACTGTTCAATAAAATCCCGAGTTTCAAATCATACTCTATTTAGGGTTAGGGATTTTGTTCGATTTGGGGATCTAAGATTGACTTTAGGGATTTTATTTCAATCGTTACGACAAAACGACATCGTTTTGTTGTTATATGAAACAATGTCGTTATCAATTAACATATATGTTAACAGAAAATTACCTCCGTTAACGAGATCTATTAACCCACTTAACGTCGTACCTAATATGGTCAGGTCAACAGAAGTTTGATATTTATTTAGAAAATCAACATAAGTTTGATATTTATTTGGAAAGTTAACATAAGTTTGATATTTATTTCGTTTTGTCATGAGTTGAGGATTTATTAACCCACTTAACGTCGTACTTAATATGGTCAGGTCAACAGAAGTTTGATAGTTATTTGGAAAGTCAATGAAAGTTTGGTGTTTATTTGAAAAATCAACATAAGTTTAATATTTATTTGGAAAGTCAACACAAGTTTGATATTTATTTCGTTTCGTCATGAGTTGAGGATTTAAATCAACGTTTTGAATAAGTCGGGGATTTTAACGACATTTTTCCCCATTTTTTTACTATGTGGTTTGACCTTGTTATTATTAGAGAGAGCGAGAGAGAGATGCATGTTTGATGTTTCTCAAGTTTCAACAATTAAATGAGTCATATTCAACCAAAGTAGTCAGTTCCACCAGATAATAATGGGCTTTAAAATTATAACTGGGCGTAAATAATGAGCCCATTAATCAGAAACGACCGAAATCTGTTGGTTGGCGAAATCGAAAATGAAATTGGGGGTTTAGATTAGGGTTCATCAATTCATCATCATCAGATCGAAATGGGGAGTCTAGTGAAGGCGTATTACCAGATGAACCACAACAGCATCCCCTTTCACCATTACAACAGTTACAGGCCTTCCAACCTTCAAAACCCTATCTCCCTCTTCGCCATCACTTCTCCCTCCTCTGACCCATCATCTTCTCTCCCTCCTCCTCACAAACATCCCCCTCCTCTATTCGTCGGCGGCGGCGGCCACTTCATCATCCCCACCATCGCCGTCGCTGCTTCCGCCTGGTTCTTCTTCCGTCTCCACCAATACCCTCCTATCATCACCGCCCCTCTTGATCTCCACCTCGATTTGCTGGAAGAAGGTGCTGTCAAAGAGCTTCCTTTGGAGAGCAAGCCTCGTTATGTTCAAGCTCTTCACTTTTACAAAATCCAGCCAGGTACGGTCTTCAAACTCTTAGACGTTTTCGACTCCGATAGCTACGACTCCTTGAAAGCCCGGATTCGTTTATCCGCCGAGTGGTTAGAAACTGCCAGGAGAGAGTTGGAGGAGGTTGTGGAGAGAGACCCCGGTCGGGTCATGGAGTATTCTCAGGTGGTTGATGAGCTCATGGAGATTCTCAGGGATATGGAAGTTTACATTGATAAATGCCAAAAGGACAACGTTAAGGGTTACCTCAGATCCTGCAACCGATTGCTTGCTCGTGTCAGGAGAATGGAAGCTCAGATTCTCAATGTTCTCAAAGAGTTCCACCAAGGAGGAGGAGGACATACTTTTTAGGGCTTGTCATTATCTACTTACCAAAGTTCATTATGTTTTGGTTCTATCTCTATCTCTAGGATGGTAAATAGATGGTAAACTGACTCTCCACTCTTTCTTTATGTTTTGAAACATCAACAATTGTTACATTGTCTGTGTCCTAAGACCGTGAATAGGGGGAGGGCTTAATTATTATGATATAAAAGATTCCCAACTGATGATGATGATTCCATCTCTGGTCCAAAACATATAGTAGAAAACAACAAAACAGTTTCTTCTTATCTGATAGCCTGATGATATATCTTTGTCTCCAGCTACGTCCAGTCTGATTACTTGTGTACAAATGACCTAACCAACAACTTCCTTCTTTCTGAACATGAGAGTAGTAGGAGGAGATTGCTCGGTTTTCCATAATTCATATCATCATTTATATCTGTACGAAAGTGCACAATTCCTCTTGTTCTTCATTTTTCTTTCATCATTTCATTCTATGTATCCTTGGAGTTGGTGTTTCATGTGTAAGTGGACAACTACTCTTATTTATGCACGATTGCACCATATTTATTTAAATGGTTTTTCAGTTGCAAAACTCTCCATGACACATTCCCAGAGGAGAATAAAACAATACAGGTTTAGCAGCTAAACCATTTTCGTATGGTTGCTAGTGAGTTTCTCTAAACCTTTAACCAACTTTAGAGACAAATCATACAAAGGTCAAAGAAACTCTGTTTTGGTTCCCATTGCTAGAAAGTTCATCCCATTATAACCCGCTTAATGATGGTTACCACCAGAAAACTTTGCCACAAACATAAATTTCCCAATTTTTATTTTTTATTTTATTAAAAATTTAGTTATCACAATCCCCAATCGATTTCACCAAGATTAACTAAACATACATTTAATCGGGAAATAAAATTAGTCAAATTTCTAACCAAAAAAAATATTAATCAGCACGATAAATAATCATATGATAAATTAAAGAGAGTATTTTAAAAAAATTCAGTAACCAAATCAAACCCATAATTCATAAAGGAATTTTGGAAAAAGAACAAATCTACAGAAGATTGCTTGCTATAGCCTATAAGAGAGAAAATGGTATAAAGTAAATTTTTATTTATTTACGACATGACCAGTACTAAAAGTACGAATGGACAGAGGAAAAACAAATTAAGGTTATAATAGAATTTCAGTTTTAAAAACGTTTACTTCACCATATTTTTTTTTTAAAAAAGTTAAGTTTCTAAGAAATTGGGAATAAATATCTTTTTTAGGATAAAGAATCCATCCTGACCAGAGATATATATACAAAAAAGAATTCCTAGAGATCATTACAAAACGAAATAGATACCAAAGATTGGGTTAAGGTCATCTTCCAAAAGCAGGAATGATAAAGGCAGGTAAGAAGAAAAATGTCCAAAACACAAGTGAATCACTTGAAGTGATGCCCCAACGGAAAAAAAGAAGAAAGACGGGATTTAGTGGAATGATGTAGACGGTGAGAAATATACATCCGAACCTAGCATGGGTTTATTTTCATTTTAATTGTTTTTTTTTCTGTTTAGTATGATTTTATTTTAATTATCTTTTTACAGAATCAAAATAACTGTATACATAATTGACAGATTGTTTGGGCAATTTTTAACTGGTTCGTGTATGCACAGTGCTACGGATTAACGCATGAAGAGATATTTTAGTCATAAGTAACCTTTTGTTTATATAAAAGTGAAACAATAGTAAATCATAATCTTCTAACAATAATCAAAAGAGAATCTAGGTGTAGATCCGTTAGAATTGATACTTTTAGGTAGAATCGATGGAGGAGTCGTGTCGTTAGGCGATAGATCATCGCTGATTTATTTAGGCCGTGGCCATTGATTCTTCATCGTTTAGTCTTTTAGAAGCTTTTAGGGTTTTTTCCCTTTTCTCGGACCCCTTTTTTCTCCTTTTTTTTTTTTGCTAAATGGCAAATATCATATAAATGAAATGTTTGGTTTTACATGGAGTTCAACCTTGAGTTGGTTTCTTGGCAAAAAAATAAAACAAGAAAGCAAAGAGATAGCTTTTGAAAATATAGAATCAGTGCAACCAATGTCTCATAAGCGTTCTGAAACGCTTCTTGAGTCTTCTTGCAGTGATGGAGTTCTTGACTTCACGATCGATTTCCTTGAATATTACTGAAGGTAATATTCAGTAATATTGCAGCTACTTCCAGTACGCCACACGGAAGGTAAGAGAACATGATGGGGGCACTCACATCGTTAAGCTGGTCGAGATCAAACCCATTTATATAGAAAATTCGAAAAATCAGCAACGCATATGCGGTGATGATCACAGAATGCATCATTATCGAGTAGACAACTCCGGAGGTCATCCTGCCATTAAGAGACATATATAGATTATTTCAAACGAATTGCGTGCTTGCTTAACCTGCATATATATATATATATATATAATAAGGGATGGATCGGAGTAACTGATGCGCTAAATAGAGGACACTCACTTGATGACAAATTCAAGTCTGCGTTTCCACATGTCTTTTCTTGTTATGAGGGTATCTTCCATCTACAAAACAAACATCCATTCTAATATCTCACATACGAATAAGCCAAGTATACAAACTATATATGAATCTATCTTTTCCTTCTTCACTGAATCCCCTCCGTCTATACTTAAACCCTAATATTCAGTCAACTCTCTATATATGTTGGTTTATTTAATAATTTAATACATCTACCACAGAAAAACCATCGTTCAACCCAAAAAGAAGAAAACCGGCCGACTTCAACTTCTGCCTTTCCGCATATTCACAAAACAAAACAAAAAAATTTGACAACAAACCGGCAAGAGTTTTGGGACAGCGGCAGCCATAATGACGGAAGAGGTGACGGCGGTGAAGACCTAAACCTTAATCTTGTAATCGTTCGAGAATTTGATAACAAATAAACAAAAATAGTTGTACTAGCTAGGGTTTTTTTGAGCAAAGTACTATGTATTTGTTAATAAACAATAATTAATTTATTTTTTGTTTAGGAGAAGAGACAGAGAGACAAGAATAATCAAAAAGTTATATAATTACTTAATATCTCTATTAAACTAGTCATTTTCCTTCTTACATAAATGATAGCTCAATTAATTAGAGAGGATTTTTAGGAACATTAATTAAATTCGTTAATTACTTTGCAAATAGAAAAACTATTACTGCCACTTATTACAATTCCGTAATTTTTTTTGATACATTATGCATGCTATGGCCCATTCCATTGTATAAGACATGTTGATTCGGTAAATAAGGCTAAAGCCTACGATAGTTCCATTTAACTAACGATGTATTTTATTGTTTTGGTCATTGGGCTTTCGTTGTTGACATTTAATCTGCTATTTAGAATTAGTGTTCCCTGTGTTTTCCTGAATACTTTGGTGACATCCAGTGCATTTGGGTATAACATCACATTGATAATTTGGATGATTATATGAATGAAGACCCTGAACCACAAAGCAAGAGATTTAAGAAGCCCCGTACATCACGCTTTAACCATCAATAAGAATGACTATGGATAGGAATTATTACTGAAATTCAGGAATATATCGATCTACTACTATAAATACTAAAGAGAGTTTCAACACAACGGGAAAATAAAACAAAAAAAAAAAAGAAGGGAACAAGAGAGTTTCATGTTAAAAAAATGAAGCTCTCTTGTTTTGTTTTTCTCATATTATCGTCTCTTGTTACCTGTTCTCTTGCCACGGCTCCGCCCAACGCATCTACTTACGAAAGCTTTCTCCAATGTTTCAGCAACCACACAGGCGCTCCTCCTGGGAAGTTATGCGACGTCGTTCTGCCTCAAAGCAGTGCCAGCTTCACCCCAACCCTACGCGCCTACATCCGCAACGCTCGTTTCAACACTTCCACGTCTCCCAAACCTCTGCTCGTTATCGCGGCGCGTTCTGAGTGCCACGTCCAGGCCACCGTCCTCTGCACCAAATCTCTCAACTTCCAGCTCAAGACTCGCAGCGGCGGCCATGACTACGACGGCGTTTCCTACATCTCTAACTGCCCTTTCTTCGTCCTCGACATGTCCTATCTCCGTAACATCACCGTCGATATGTCCGACAACGGAGGCTCTGCCTGGGTTGGAGCCGGCGCTACTCTCGGCGAGGTTTATTACAACATTTGGCACAACAGCAAAACTCACGGCACTCACGGGTTTCCCGCCGGAGTTTGTCCCACCGTCGGAGCCGGGGGTCACATTAGCGGCGGAGGCTACGGCAACATGATCAGAAAGTACGGGCTTTCCGTTGATTACGTCACGGACGCCAAGATCGTAGACGTGAACGGACGGATTCTCGATCGTAAATCGATGGGAGAGGATTTCTTTTGGGCAATTGGAGGCGGTGGTGGTGCGAGCTTCGGCGTGATCTTATCTTTCAAAATCAAACTCGTGCCTGTTCCTCCGAGGGTGACTGTTTTCAGAGTGGAGAAAACCCTCGAGGAAAACGCACTTGACATGGTCCATAAATGGCAGTTTGTTGCTCCCAAGACCAGCCCGGATCTCTTCATGAGGCTAATGTTGCAGCCGGTGACCCGGAACACGACTCAGACTGTTCGAGCGTCGGTGGTTGCTCTGTTCTTGGGAAAACAGAGCGATCTCATGTCTCTGCTGACCAAAGAGTTCCCGGAGCTTGGTCTGAAGCCGGAGAATTGCACGGAGATGACGTGGATACAGTCGGTGATGTGGTGGGCCAACAACGACAACGCCACGGAGATTAAACCGGAGATCCTGCTGGACCGAAACCCGGATTCGGCGTCTTTCTTGAAAAGAAAATCGGATTACGTGGAGACAGAGATTAGCAAAGACGGTTTAGATTTCCTGTTTAAGAAGTTGATGGAGGCTGGGAAGCTAGGGCTAGTGTTCAATCCGTATGGAGGGAAAATGAGCGAAGTTGCTACTACGGCGACTCCATTCCCACACAGGAAGAGGCTTTTCAAGGTCCAGCATTCGATGAACTGGAAAGACCCGGGCACTGAAGCGGAGAGCAGTTTCATGGAAAGGACGAGAAGCTTCTACAGCTACATGGCTCCTTTCGTGACCAAGAATCCAAGACACACGTATCTCAATTACAGGGATCTTGATATCGGGATCAACAGCCATGGCCCGAAAAGTTACAGAGAAGCTGAGGTTTACGGGAGAAAGTATTTCGGAGAGAATTTTGATCGGTTGGTCAAAGTCAAAACAGCCGTGGATCCAGAAAACTTTTTCAGAGATGAACAGAGTATACCTACCTTGCCTACCAAGCCAGCCTCGAGTTAGGTTTGGTAGCAGGAAGATTTTTCTTCCTTTTTCTTCTTTGGCAAAAGACCTAAATAGTTTTAAATCCTAGGCTGCCTGGGGATCATTTATTTCCTAGCTAATTTATACAGCTTGTATTTTTATACATGTTACGACCATCCAAGTCAGAAAATTTTACTGCACAAATTGCAACAAATACAAGAACTGGCATCTATATATATATAAAAAGATTATACACAACACATAATTTTCTGAGATTAGTTTTTGAATAAATCTAGTCTTACGATTGCAATTTGATTCGGTTCGTTTTAATGAAGTTGGGCCTAAGTAGCGTATCAGTACTGTTTTTGGCAATGGAACGTGTATACATCAAAAGTCAGAACATATACGCGTAATATATACGTACAAAATGCAAATAAGAAAATCAGTGGCTGTTTTGGTGGACGGACAAAACAATACGCAGTGCAGGGTGCAGGGTCCTCCTATGATAGAAATAGCAAGGCGCTTCAAGCATGATGATGAAGCCCACAATCTTAGAGGGGCTGAGACTGGCTAGATGAAAACTCCCTAAGAAGTAATTCAACTTCTTCAACAACACCAAGCTTCTTAAACCACTGAGCCAACACAGCGGAAGCTTCTTTCCCTACCATTATAGAGTCTTTCTCAAGCTCAACCAAGAACCCTAATGCTTCGTTTAGCTTTTCTTCCTTCTCATATGCAGCCAATACAAGAGCCACACACTTATCAGTAGCTTTGATTCCCGCTTTTCTCATATTCTCAAACGCCAAACGCGCATTCTGACTCTGACCTGAGACACTGTATGCGTTTATGAGCAGTCCACATAGCTTTACATCAGGAGTAATCCCCGCAATTTGAACGGCATCAAAGACCCGCTTAGCTCCTTCCGCGTCTCCACCCATAGAGTAAGCTCTCAACAATGCCTTGTAAACCTCTCTTCCCGCACATATCTCTTGGGAGTCCATTTCTCGGAGTAAAGCCTCTCCTTTCTCGGGGGCACCAGCTCTAATGTAGGCCATAATCATTGAACCATATGATCGATTATCTAGTGGCTCCCCAATCAATTTGATCTCGTTGAAAGTTTCTTCAGCCAATTTATGATAGCCTGCCTTGCTATACAACTGAACTATTGCAGTAAGGGTCACCTGATCAATGAGAAAGCCTCGATTTTTCATGGAAAGAAGAGTTCTTTCAGCGTCTTCCACTTGGTTTAGCTTCCCATAGTAATGGATGATCTTGGTATAATCACGGGCATTCGCTTCAAAGGAATCTTCGAGCAGCGAAAATTCAGCCACCTAAGGAGATGCAGGCAACAAGATTGAATGATTTAAACTTAGAATGGATAAACTCGAATAGCAAACTAGAATGATTTAGATACAATTGTCAAAACCAAAAAGGCACTTCAGATCAATCGAGCATGGAAGGAGGAAAGCAAGTACCTTGATATAAAAGGGAGAGTCAAGATTCTTCAACTCTTTAAGAATAGAAAGCCAGTCAGCTCTAATGGGGTTCATCCTCCTAACCCAAGCACCCAACAAATCACAAAAGCTTCCCTTTTCGCTGGAGAAGCAAATAATCTGCCGCATAAGGGCTTGACAACGTTTTGACATCTTAATAGGAATCCGAGTGATTGCCTCATCCTGTTCTTCTGTCAGATCCAGACCAACGTCAACCCAATTAGACCTAGGGATTTGTTCTGTATCTTCCTTCTCTACAACCTCGCCAATGGCCAAACTGGCACTACATTTGCAACTACAGAGCCTATTTAGACGGGATTCTACAAGTAATGGGATTCGTCTAAACATGCGATGGTAAAGCCTATGCCTTGCAATAACTAATGGACATTTCAAGCCGAAGCTCAACACTGCGCTGCAGCTATAAATTCCCATTGTAGACCTCCAGACCAGAACTAAAAGAAAAAACCTAAATTTGGCGGCCGTATGATTTCACATGAACGGAATCTCTAGAAAACAAGTCAGGAATATTCAAAGGCCTAATTAAGGATCATACAAGTACAGAATTGAGCTTCTCTGATGATTACTTACAAAAAGCAGAGCTCAGAGAAACTGGAGATAAAAGAGATGAGCAAAGCAAAGTTCATATACAGAGCTGGTGGATAGATTAGAATTTAGAGCGGTGGAGAAGAAGAGATGACTCTCTGTTAGCTTTCTTTGCTCTGCTCTGCTCTACTTCTGAGTTCTGTCTGCCGGATTAGACAACAACAACAACACTAGAGACCACAAACAAATGGCTGCTTCACTATGGGCCTTTATTAATGTTGGGCCTCCGTTAGAATTTTGGCCCATTATCCCGCAAAATCTACGTATATGGAGCACACTAGCAGTTAGGGGTGGGCACGGAGCGGATATCCGGGTTTTTGGTGGTATTTGTTATTCGATTCGTTTTTTCCGAATACTAAGTTTTCCGATTCGTATTTGCTTCGTTAGTGACCGAATATCCGGCTGTTCGAATATCCGTTAAAATCCAAACTATTTGCCGGATATTCGATCCGTTAAGTATTTGTTTAAAATTAAACAAAAAAATTAAATAAAAAAATCTAATCCATAAATTGTAAAATTTTATTAAAAATAGTAATATTTTACCAAAAATATATATATTTCTCTTTCCTATACTATATATTTATTAAAAACAATTA